GGGGTCATATAATGCAGTTTGAAACCATATATGATTATTATATGTTGTCATAAACGTTTGTGGTAGGCTTGAGTTTACAAAATTATTACAAGTAGTAAACAGGTAAAATAGTCGTTTAAGGGCATATTGGATGGTTCCACCGACCCAATTCTACTCCCGAGGAGTATTAGGGACCATGGTAAACATCTTAGCAATTTTAGTTCCAGGCGAAAGAATGTCAAAAAATTACAAAATTGAAGTCTATAATCCACGCTTTTTGAGAAAATTTTGAGGTTTCGAGCCCGGTAGCGAAAAGCCATGAGAACCTAAGGGATACATCTCGGGGTCATATAATTCCGTTTGAAACCACATATGATCATTATATATTGTCATAAACGTCCGTGGTAGGCTTGATTTTACGAAATCACTTCAAGTTGTGAACGGGTAAAATGACCGTTTAAGGGTGTATTGGATGGTTCCACCGACCCAATTGGCCTCTTGGAGGGTATTAGGGACCATGGTTAACATCTCGGCAATTTTTATTTACGGGCGAAAAAAAGTAAAAATAAATTACAAAATTGAAGGCTATTGACAGGGTAAAGTCGTATCCCCAAATCAAAAGTAATACCTAAATCCTCTAACTAATGTAGATAGGGAAGTAGGGTCAAATCCACAGAGAAACGGATCTTTCTATTCCTAATTAACTAATATGATCTAGATTATTAGGTAACCAATTATGTGAATTTGAATAATAAACTAAACTATGGAGATCAAGAATAGGGAGAAAATAATATATAAAAGGATCTAGGGCATAGGTTCACCAATAAATAATACTCAGGGTAAAACATAATAATCAATCATTGACATTGCATAAATAACATGATTAACAGGCTCTCGCAATTTATTAATCAACATAGATCTAACAGGCTCTCGCAATTTACTAGATCTAAGTTCCTATTGAAAATAGCCTTTAATATCAAATTAACATCTGCTCGATTCATCAATTCAATATTGCTATACTTTTACAAGCCATAATTGTAAAGCGTTAAAACAATTCAACAAGAAATTACATGCAATATCAAGAATCAATAATAGTCAGTCATCAATGCATCAATTAACCAGATCGTAAAGGGCTTTCGCTACGTATTACAATCACAGAATTAATCTACCGGTATTAAATCTCAACTCTCGAATCTCGACTTAACCATTTATAAATTAATCTGCCTATTGAAACTAAACCTAAACATCAATTCTCATATGTCGAATCTCGAATCAATATTGTCAAACTCATGCATAAAAGATCAGGCCTAATCTAGTCACAGAGCATTAAATCAACCAATAGGAAATTAATCTAGCATTGATAATCAACAACAAATTCCCCTTCATATTATTTAAGGATCCCCATAAACCCTAGAAATAAAACTACTCACACATGGTAAAAACTGAACTAATCAAAGCCATAAAATAAAACATAATTAAAGGAATAGAATAAATAACTAAAATTAAGAGAAAAGAAATAGTTACCAAACAAATCTGGAATTAAGAAAGTAATTAAGAACAAGAGTTGAGAAAAAAGTTAAGAGAGAGAAAAATCCTAAGTAGATAGAGAAAATCTAAGAAAAGAAGGTAATCCCCAAAATTACGTACAAATCTCGTACTTAAAACATTCCCTAAAACAAAAATTAAAACTAAACTAATCAGGTCCCATAAAAATACGCGCCCGATCGGGCCCGCCTTTTTCTTCACACAGCCGCGCCCGATGGAGCTAACGCTCACCTGATCAGGCGCGCCTTCTTGCTGGTGCTCTTCTTTGCGCGCCCGCCCGATCGGGCGCAAGCTTGCCCGATCGGGCCCGCTCTTCTTCTTCGAGGCTCGGATTTCAACTGAGCTCGATTCCTCGGCCCAATCTAAGTTTCCTCATCGGTCTTGATTAAACGATCTTCTAGCCTCGGTGTCTCACACCGAGCCCTTAGTCATCAGCTCTCACCAATCCTGGGCCTTAAAAGTGGTTGTGTCCTTCTAAATTCCGTAGTTGATCCATAAAGCCCGGGAAAATGCTCCAAGAGTGCAATTTCCTGTAAAATACAACTAAAACTACGAAAACACTAGAAAACACATATTAGTAATAAAAGTAGCTCGAAAGAGCCAAAAACACTACTAATTATGACCAAGGGACGGGGGTAAATTACTATATAGAATGGACATATCAGCTATAATCCACGCTTTTAGAGTAAATTTTGAGGTTTAGGGGCCTGTGGTGAAAAGCCTTGAGACCTTAAGGGATACATATCGGGGTTATCTAATGTCGTTTGAAACCATATATGATCATTATATGCTGTCATAAACGTCCGTGATTGGCTTGAGTTTACGAAATCACTACAAGTTGTGAACGTGTAAAATGACCATTTAAGGGCATATTGGACAGTTCCACCGACCCAATTTGACTCACGGAGTATATGAGGGACCATGGTAAACATCTCGGCAATTTTTATTTTCGGACGAAAAAAGGTCAAAAAATTAAAAAATTGAAGGCTATAATCTACGCTTTTTGTGGAATTTTGAGGTTTCGGGGCCCGGTGGCGAAAAGCCTTTACACCCTAAGGGATACATCTCGGGGTTATATAATTCCGTTTGAAACCACATATGATCATTATATGTTGTCATAAACGTCCGTGGTAGGCTTGAGTTTACGAAATCACTTCAAGTTGTGAATGGGTAAAATGACCGTTTAAGCATGTATTTGATGGTTCCACCGACCCAATTGTACTTTTGGAGGGTATTAGGGACCATGGTTAACATCTCGGCAATTTTTATTTACTGGCGAAAGAATGTAAAAAAATTAAAGGCTATAATTCATGCTTTTTAGGAAATTTTGAGATTTAGGGGCCTGTGGTGAAAAGTCTTGAGACCTTAAGGGATACATCTCGGGGTTATATAATGTCGTTTGAAATCATATATGATCATTATATGTTGTCATAAACGTCCGTGGTAGGCCTGAGTTTATGAAATCACTACAAGTTGTGAACGGGTAAAATGACCGTTTAAGGGCATATTGGACGGTTTAACCAACCCAATTTGACTCCCAAAGTATATTAGTGACCATGGTAAACATCTCGACAATTTTTATTTACGGTCAATAAAAGGTCAAAAAATTACAAAATTGAAGGCTATAATCCACGTTTTTTGTGGTATTTTGAGGTTTCGGGGCCCAGTGGCGAAAAGCGTTGAGATACTAAGGGATACACCTCAGGGTTATATAATTCCATTTGAAACCACATATGATCATTATATGTTGTCATAAAGGTCCGTGGTAGGCTTGAGTTTACGAATTCACTTTAAGTTGTGGTAAAATGATCGTTTAAGGGCGTATTGGATGGTTCCACCGACCCAATTGGACTCTTGGAGGGTATTAGGGACCATGGTTAACATCTCAGCAATATTTATTTACGGGCGAAAAAAAGTAAAAAAAAAATTACAAAATTGAAGGCTATAATCTTCGATTTTTGAGGAAATTTTGAGGTTTAGGGCCTGTGGCGAAAAGTGGCAAAATTGAAGGTTATAATCCACCCCATTGTTCGATTACAGGCTGGGTTCAGATCATTGTCGATTAAGGTCTGGTCCTCGGGTCGGGTCAGTTTTTTACAGCTTTAGGGTCTCAATACTTTTCGCTACAGGGCCCTGAAACCTCAAAAATTCCCCAAAAATCTGTTGATTATATAGCCTTTAATTTTGTAATTTTTTGACCTTTTTTCGCCCGGAAATAAAAATTGTCGAGATGTTTACCATGGTCCCTAATACCCTTCGAGAGTTTAATTGGGTGGGTGGAACCATCCAATATGCCTTTAAATGGTCATTTTACCAGTGTTCGTACGTGACTCTTGTATTGGTTATAAGGACTCACGAGGCCTTTACGTTGCTGGATAATGGTCATATATGGGTCCACACAATCTTATATGATCCGGGGAGTCATCCCGTAGTGTTCCGTGTAATTCCAACACCAGCTCCCGACACCTTCTAAATCGCTCCGATTTCGTGTATTATAGTAGAGTTGTCGATTCGGGTATTCAAGGCGGATTTGGGTTGGGTCAAATCATGTCTCGGGTTAAATTAGGATCTGGTTGTGTCTAGTCAATCTAGCCTCATATTAGGTTCAAGTTCGGGTCGGGACAATTTTAGTTGAGTTTAAACTGGGTCGTTCACCTTTACGGATATATGTCGGGTTCAATTCGAGCCAAATTCAGATCGGATTCAATTTCAGGTTCGGGTTGTGTGTGAGTCAAGTTTGAGTTGGTTAATAGATGGTACATTCGGGTTCGAGTTAGTGTTGAGTTGGGTTTTGGTTCAAGTTCAATTCCAATAAGTATCAATGTGCTCAAGTTGAACCTATATAATTACGCCTTCCATAATTTGATCAGCTTTATCAAGATTTTATTAAACCTATATATGAGTAATAGAGAACAAAAGGTATACAAGCTAAACGGATTGTGGGTTTACAAATTTGTACTAGTATATAAGTTGAACAAAAGGCATATAAATTTTATTAAACCTTCCATGACTCGGATACAGGTTCTAATAGGGTCGGGTACTAGTTCGGGTACAGATTGTTGTTGGGTCGGATTAAATTGGTTGACGTTTAATCTCAGGTCGGGAGCAGGTTTGGGTTCAAGTCAAAAAGTATTGGATCAAATCGGTTGTCGGTTAACATATGGTCAGGTTCAGGTCGGATTAGGTCACTAGTTTCACCCCATTGTCAGGGTGCAGGTGGGGTTCAAATCATTGCCGATTCAGGTCGAGTTCTCGTGTCGGATCAGTTTTTGATAGCTCTACTTGTTGGTTATAAAGGTTGGTTATAACTTTATACGAGTAGTAAATCTGGTGTGTTACCAATCTTACAATGAAACTTTAACAAAGAACCAAGATGTTGACATAACTTTTCTGAAAATGAGGGAACTTATAGTTAACTTTGCAGCAGAACAGTATTATAATTACATGCTGCATAATTTCCAAAACATGGCTTCATCAAACATATCAATCGCATCCAATTCTAATTAGCATCACATCAATTTTCATGCAAGCTTGTCATCTGCATAAGTTATGGGTCACAGATGTATACAAGTCATCAAAACGTGACTCCCCCATCAGATCAACCTAATATTTTCATTTTATATACAACTTATAATACAATACTCTATTTTCTCAGTCCCTCTAGGGTGCTGGCCGATCTTTTAACCAGATCCCCCAAAAACCATATGTGCGGGACTTACTAATGACCTGCTTCCTCAAGACCAAAACATAAGTAGCAATGCTTTCGGGTTTTCCCTCATAGAGAGCAATGCTTCCCTTGAAGCTTTGCGATGAGATTCTTCCTCCAGATATGATCGCTTCAAAATTGATTGTGTATGAGCTGAAAAAAGAAACAGCCAATAATGGCAGATTCTGACTACCTCAGGTACAACCATGAAATAATAATTACCATTCTTCAATGTCATCATCAGTTAAGTCACTAGCTTGATTTTGGGGATTCATCTGATCAAGTTCATCAACTTCAAGTGAATAATCTTGTACTAAGCTTTTGTTAGCATTAGCACAGTTTAAAGGCGAAGATGCTCTATAACCAAGCCATTTAAGTGCCGGCCTATAATCAGTGCAGATAACAGAAACATTGGACAAGCCTATACTATAACAATGGTCAAGCCTTTGCCTCTCCATCTCATGCTGCCATGACAAAATTGAGAATTGATTAATACAGTTACAGCAATAAGTTCCTTTTTTTTTTTTTTGGACAAGAATAAGCTCTATTTAGGACATAAGAAAACAGATAAGGCTCCAAAAAGAAGCCGCTATGGCCCTACAGATTCTAAATTGTAATATCAATATATCATGAACGAGAAGAATGAAAAGATTTTCCAAGAAAATTATCAAGTACCATTAAAAAAAAAGAATCCAAAAGATTTTCCAAGAATTTTATCAAGTACCATTAATCTGCCACTTTCTTGCATAAAAGCCTCACTCTTCTACTACAAAATGGCAAGATAAAAAAGGTGCTAAAAAGCCATAGAAAAAGTAAAATGATTATTTTTTTACCACCAGATTCCAACAGAAAGAATAATATTCCCATCATAATCCACAAGCTTATATGAAGAAAAATGAATCAACTGCTTTTGGTTCCATGGCTACTAATCATCCCAAGTAAGGAGTATATGACAGACCAAAAAGCTTATATATATATATATATATGTATAAAAAAAAAGGGGGGGGGGGGGGGGTCTTCCAAATATACCACAACAGTACAATGATAAACAGAACTCACCATATTGCGCCTTGTTGATTTCTCTGCCTGCCAAAGATTAGGGCGACGTATAGAGTGCCACCTATCAAACACAAAGGTAATTGGCACATAACTCAGTAGATGTATGAATGGCAACCTGCACGAAATGTAATAAGAAATACATAACACGGTTGTCACACCTGGAAGGGGAAGGATGAGCATTTCCAAAGAGCACCCCACGCACAGCTACTGAGGCAGCAGCTGATTGAATAACATTTTCTGCTTCATAATTTCTAGCCAAAGTTCGATGAACTGAGGAAAGAAGGCAGTCAGCATCACTCAAATATGATGCCACAGTCCATGCATCTTCAATTGCTTCCTGACTGAGAAAATCTAAAACTGCGAGAAAAGGTGCAAGAAACGAGAACTTACTGTCAGAAAATGTATTTGGGTGCCATCCATTTTAGGATTAGCTAATAATTAACCTTGACTGCTCAAAGTTTTTAAGACATTGACATTCGAACAATTATTCCATGCAGATACATAGCATAATTCACAATGACGGTTCTCAATACAATCTTCAACAGACCTAATGCGTTTAAAATCCACTCGTGTGCAGAAATTTCTCCTGGAAGCAGAAAACAACTGTTCCAGTAGCACTTAATTATGTAAGTTATTTAAGAGTGCGTGTGTGGGACTTCTGAGCTTCCTGGGATGCTATTCCACTTCCTAAGAACTGAGCTGAAGCTAGGAAAACGATTCTCACACAATTTAGTATTTCTGAGTGTGTGGGACTCCTGAGCTTCCTGGGATGCTATTCCACTTCCTGAGAACTGAGCTGAAGCTAGGAAAACGATTCTCACACAATTTAGTATTTCAGTTTACACTTTTTTTCCAGGAGTTACAGGAGTTTACTCAGTATTTAAGATGAAGAAGAAGAATCGTGTGCTCTCTACTTTGGCCTGAAGAGTTATGCTGTGCTCTCTACTTTGGCACGCACATTAAATATTTCACAAGTCCTAGAATAACCACAAAATACAAAGCACTGGTTAAAATTCAAAAAACGCACCATTTTCATGCAGAAATTCAGCTACTGGCCTTGCTTGCCCATATGCTTGACAAAGAACTTTTTCCGGAGCATCCATCTTCAAAGGTAATCTTGTAAATTCTTCTTTCAGATGAAATCCATCTTCACCTACAAAGTAAGTAACAGTTATTGCAAGCATGGAATAAAAAAAAATTAAAAAAAAAACCCTCAAAACTAAGAGTTGTACTGGTGAAGATATATATCTTCAACAGTCTTAGTTTTGAGGTTTTCTTTTATTTTTATTTTTTTTTGGTTGGGGTGGAGTATTGAATGCAAGACAATTAAAATTTGAATGCAAAGTGATCTTTATATAGAGCAATTATACTCCAAGTATCCTAGAAAGCATTACACCAAGCCTGTAAAGAAGCTCCAGCCTTTGGTAAGGAAGACCAAGTTAACTTTCTGTTAATAACTAAATGTTTGTTTGTAATTAAACCCCCATCCAATATGCACAATTCCAAACTCACAATGAATACATTAACACAAGCAGTTCACGTCCTTTCAACATAGTCCATTGTACTTTGTAAAAAAGAACTGTAATTTACAGCAGTAAGTGGCATTATGATTTGAAAAGATGAAATAGAATAATTACACACACTAAAAGGCTGTAGGCAGATTATCATCTTGAACTTGAAGGGTTGAAGTCCATACAATATAGTTATGAAGATCTCTCAAGATGTATACCAGTAAGCTCTTAAACGTCCTTTGCACAGCACAACCATCCACCAGCAACCCAACCCAACCAAAATAAATAAATAAATAAAACCCATGATAAAAACAGTTAAGGAGAGGTCTTGGGCAGGAGCAAATTTCAATCATCTATTTGTGTAGTTGCTACTATCTGCACTTAGTTACACAATCATTTTTTCAGCAGCAACAGGCAAGCAAACACAACTTAAGCTGTAATAAATGCTTACAATGTGACATGGTACATTCAGTGTCTCTTTTGTTGTGTAAAAACTTCCCAAGGCCGTGAAATAAAGATAGTGTTTGATCCCTGCCAAATGCCAGAGATGATTCAACATCCTTTTCACCATGATCATGAGCTTTAACTTCTGAATCAGAGGTGTATTTCTCAGTTGTCACAAGATTCTTATTCTCTTGTCTCAGACCAGCATACTGCAAAGTCGTGATAGCATGTCTGATATCACCTCCACTTGCATTGGCTATCAAATCTAACTGCTCACGGCTTATGTTGCAATTTTCTTGTTTACATATTCTGGAAAGCACCTTCTTAATTGAATTTACTGTTATTGGATTGAAAGCCATCTGAAAATTTTAGCAGAAATAATACATAAAAATTCAAACATTGCCTGAATTATTACCCACCCCCTAACTCTATCCCCCAGAAAAAGATAGATACAGTTCAGAAACGGAAACCTTGCAGGCGCCAGCACCCTCTAGAGATGAAGAAAGTTCTTCCCAAAAGCGCATGCCAGCATCAGCAGAGTCAGCTACACTATAATCAGTAATCAAAATCACTGTCGGTACTTGTACTGAATTAACAAGAAGTTGCAAGCAGCTGAGAAGTCTTTCTTGAGCAATTCTTCCATTTGCTACGGGAAGATCTTCAATCAAGAGTACCATGGGCTGCTTTGACCTATTAAGGGATGATGAAAGCATCCCATATTTCCTAGCTCGCTCCGCAAAATTCTCAAACTCATCCAACTTAGATATGTAACGTACCCCTAGAAGTAGACAAGTAACTTGTTATATGCTAACAATAATTCAGCAGCTGTAGATTATCAAATGCAATAATTGCAAGTACATGAATATCAAGGTCCGCCTTTTAAACTTAAGAACCAAATTCCCTACTTAGTCCAATAGCAGGGGGGGGGGGAGGGGAAGTAATTGCTTTGAACAACTAAAATTTTCCTCAGCATTTAATAAATAATAAAAACACATTTCAAAACAGCATACTCAGCTACTACATTTAATCAATTATTACCACAATTTACTCTGTTTAACCTTACATTAAAGTCAACTTGTTCTTACACCTCATGCTACATCAACAGTATTCATCAAGAAATTGTTGAAGCAGATAACAATACTATAGAAAAAAAAACTATGGACATAATAGTAAAGGTTACCTGCATTCGAGTTATGAACATGCTCCTGCCAAATTGTAGGAGTAGGTGTATTCCATTCACAAACTTCAGCTCCATATTGAGATGCAACAACACGGACCGTTGCCTAGTCACGAAATTACTAATCAGCACACGATTAAGGATAACTACACATCCAAAGCCACACAGATGGAGGAGGTCAACCAGTTCGATTAAACTGCAAGGGTACATCTAGGCCAAAAAAAAAATGAACAAGGCTATTCACAGGAAATATAAATGAAAATTTACAAGGAGTCATCACTGACAAATAGTGGATGTAAATTGAGCACAATTTTGCTCAAACGCAAACATGGATATCCTATTACATTAAAATGTGCAGGCATTCAGCTACATTGATGATTGATAAGAATAACATGTTCCAAAACTACACAAGGTCTAGAGAAAACTGTCCAGCCTCAAATACAATAAGGGCATGGAATTACAACAAATGAAGTAGTTATTGTATAAGACAGAGGAGGGAGGGGGAGGGAATGAGGGAGTTATCACCCTCATATGGGGTTATCCACCACCACACTAAGGTGAGGTATTACATCTAAAACGATGGTATTTGGTCCCCTTCCCTCCCCCTTGTCCATTAATTACTACATAATCCCTTAAAGCACCACCTGAACTCATCACCATTCTTTCTTTTTTTTCATTCAACCCTCATACAGATTACGCCTAATCCAAGTGTGCCCTCAACAATAACATGTATTAAACGGATCTTAGAATATGCCACAACCACTAAGTTGTCGAAGTATCTTCTTTTAACAAGCACTCCATATGCCACAACCCACCACTAAAGACCCCACAATATGCGGTAATTACCAAGTCACTATTCAGTTCACCTTTACAAAAATTTCTGCATAAATAAGTTATAATCAGCAAAAATAATCCTAATAAGTAAAAATTGGTTAAATCGGCAAAAATCAGTAACCTCAGTGCAATAATGACCATTGTGAATCAATATACCGTTTTAGAAATTAGTATATTCAGTTTTAATTAGTAATTATAACTTCAGTTCAGTAGAGATCAGCTAAACTGAATAAGACCTAAGAAAATAAAATGGAAACACATATCCAATTCCTACCAGCTGCAAACAACGACAGATGTCACTGATGATCATGCATACCAGCAACATATAAAGACAAAAATGCCACTGATGATCACACAAATGAAGGAAACACATTGCCAAGAGTACTGGTCAGACGAGCAAAGGCAAGATATGGAAATCAAACTCAAACTATCAATAGACAGTCACAATTAATATGAGTGATAGCATTTCATACATAAGATTAATGGAATGTCATGGGGCTACCCTTAGCCTTTACTTCACATCTATACAGCTGTTTAGGACTTCATGCACCACAATAAATACTAATGAGGAAGAGATCAAGACAGGAGGTAGAGCAACATACAGATTTTCCAGTCCCCGCTTGGCCTGTGATGAGGAGAGCATAATTTTGGGATCCTCGCTACAATGCAGATTAACAAAACATAATTATCAACTCACTGCTTCAACTAAAGTAACTAAACACAAACAATGCAACCAATGGCAAGGCACGTTAGACATAATGAATTATTATATACTGTCACTGGTAGCACAGTTTTTACATTGCCGAATCATCCCCATTGGCCATGGCCATGGCCATGAGGTTGCTAACAGTTCAAAAACTCGAAGTCAAAATTAATCTTATCACCACGTGATATCATCCAGGTTAGTGGACACATTTTTGCCTTGATAAGCATAGCACGAAATCTATAGGACACTAGTTGGGAGCTTAAGGCTTGTATATGATTATTGAATCAAAGGAAATCATCGCTAGTAGAAAGCAAAATGGAGGATCTAATTGATTAAGATAAGTCAATTTCTTCTATGGCTTAGCAGCAACAAGCAATAACACCGAATACATGTATTAAAAAAGAGATCCAAAATTCTTAGCATGTAACAGAAGAGCAAGACATTACATCATATCAGTATTCTCCAAGCACTAAATTACCTTTGGAATCATCAATTTTTCCTCAAACCACATTCTGACTTCTTCCACCTACAAATTAACAAATTGTGGGCATAACCGATCAGCATCAATGAATACACAACAAACAATAGTATCACATTCAATCATTACATTAAAAACTTGGTTTACCTTCTTTTTATGAACAGCTAGCTCTTCCAAAGAACGCGGTCTATACTTATCAACCCAAGACTCCAACCCGTCGAGCCTCCTAGAATCTAATACAATTTCCAAACAAACACAAAATCTCTAAACAAATAAGAAAATAGACGAATATCATCATAATTAACCAATTTCATTATCACCTTATGTTATTCCAGCTTGATCAACAATATAAACAGTAGTCCAAATTATAACTTGTATCATTTTTTTATGTTTTAAAACGGAACAAATAGATGTACAGTACATAGCATACCAGTAGATACCTTACACCCAGCAAAATCCTCGGCCAAATCTCCAGAAAAAAATTTGAACTGTATTTCAAAAATAAAAAACAAGTAACATCAACTCTCAATTAATAAGAAACAAACACAACAAATTAACTAAATCAATCAAAAAGAAATTCACCTCATCAAAATTTGATAGCAATTCAACGGAAGAAGCAAGAGATTGAGAGAGTCGCGCCTTCTTCGCCATCGTCGTTTTAACAGAAGAAGTTATTCTAGACTTTGAATTCGATGCAGATTTTGAATTTCTAGGATTCGACTTGGAATTTGAAGTTGAGCATTTTCTAGCAGGGGTGAATTCATCGTCGTCTGACGATAAAACAACAACAGTATTGCGTCTTTTTCCCATCGAAATTGCAAACCCTAACGAATTGTTTGCGAAATTAGTTGATGAAGACTATTGAAACAATCAGGAACCCTAGTTTTCTGACAAGTAACATCATCAGAGTTGTGGAGGTATAGAATTAGTTTGAAATTAAGCGCGAATTTGTAGATTGAAGCACAAATGGTGAATGGCAATGGAGGAGAGAGAAAATGGAAGACGAAAATGGAGAAAAGAGGGTATGCTCTGAGACTGAGTGCAGAGAGTGGGGAAAGTTTAGGTTCGAAAAAGCGCGGGTGTCATTTTGTATTCCCAATTTCCCATCCGTGGCGTACCTTAGAAGAAGGTTTTTTTTTTTTTTTTTTTTTTTTTTTTTTTTTTTAAAAAAAAAAAAAATATCTGCCCCGTCCGGCTCCGACTACATCTAATGAGAGTTATCTGTGTTTGGTGGGCTCAAACTCGAAACCTCCCTTAAAACTACTTAAATACTTAACCACTTGAGCCAACTCTTGTTGGTTTTAGAAGAAGCTATAACAGTGTTTTTTTTTTTTTCCATTTGTTTGTTGTGTGTTTTTTTTTCTTTGACAAGAATTTCATTAAAAGAATAACAACTTATAACCTACAAAGGGTAAAAGAAACTAAAAAAATTACAATCAAACATGCAAACAAAAAAGGGAAACCTTATGAAACATATCATAACACCATTGATGACCCCCGAAGCATAATCACATCTAATGATCAGTTTGGCTGTTTTGAATCCCTTTTGCAGGCAATAGAAACAGGATTTGGCTATGGCGGGGGAACAAATATGGTGGATGCAGAGTTGGCAAAAGCAAACACTACAGAATACAAACCAAGCACGAAATATTCAAGGAAGTGTTGAGAATTTACAACTTGTTTAATTAAATGGATCAATATGACATGATAAATTTACTTGAACACCTGTGATCAAAGTCAGCCCAACCTGAATATGGGCGGGCTTTGGGAAAAAATTTTGGGTCGCCTTCAGATTGGGCCCACCCTTTTTTGTCCCAGGCTTTGGGCATGCATTTTTAAGAATTTTAGTTATGCCCAACTTGTAAAGCCTGCTAGACTTGGTCTTATATTACAAGTTTGGGCAAGCATTTTTTTGGCCCAACCCAACCAAACTGGCTTAATTTTCTTGCCTTGGCCCAGCCCGGTCCACCCATAAATCACCAACATGGATCAGTTTAGTGTTGATTGTTGAGATTTTTAAAGTGAAATCAACACAACTCAACGGCTCAACCCATCTTTGGAAAGGATATAAGAGAACTAGTGTTAAAGGTTTTTAAAACATAACGGGTTTGTACACAGCAAGTACAACACGACACGACACGCAGGGGCGAAGCCAGGATTTTAAAGCTTTAGGGGCCGACTAACACTTTAATAAAAATTAAATTAAATTAATGTGAACATGGTTGGATACTCTAATTGTATGGAAAAAAAAATCATTCAATCTTTTTTAAACCATGCATTCTACTAAAATATATACGAAGTATTTGTTAGATTACTTTGTATGAGATATCCTACATATCACAATTATCAAAATAATAACATACATATCAATCTTGATGATATACAAACGCTTCCTCTATTCTTCTTGCATATATGCCTAGATTTATTAAGACAAGCTTCATAATATATTTCGTTAGCTATCAGTATATCTAATTAAGTACATAGTATAAATATTACCCAAAAAAAAAAAGAAAAAAATAATATACGAAGTAATGGATCATCTATAAAAGTTTAGTAATGAATAAACTAATCCTACTATTTAATCCTTAAACCTTAGCAATTAACATAAAGAAGAATTTTACAAATTATTTTAAAAAATTAAGAAAATAAAATAAAATTATTGATTGAGTAGTAAAACAAATCAACAATGACAAAGCCCTCAGTAATTGGGATTTGAAAAAGAAAAAAAAAACTAGTCTTGTTAGTTAGGAGGCTTGATCCTAGGACCTTAAACACCAATCAAGCCTTTAATATATGCAAATAAGTAACAGGAATATTATTTATCCTAAATATTTATAGGGGCCAAAGTTAAAATAATAAACCACGAAATTGGGCCATGGGGGGGCGGGTGGAGTAACTTCGCCCTTGACGACACGTTTGCTAGCTCCCTCAAATATTGCAAATCAATATAATTAAAAGGTGCAAGGAGGTAAAACTAATTGGTAATAATAAGAGTAATCACTCTACCTAAGTAGAATCATATGTCCTTTTTGTGGGCTTTCTATAGGTTTTAAAAGTTTTAACAATAAGGAAATAAAACAATTACTGCGCATAATATGTAGCACCGATTTTCATTAAATTTGCATATAATATAAAACGGTAGTAGTTAAAATTGAGCATTATACACTAAGGTGCGCCCAAAAGTTATGATAATCAAAGTAGTTACTCCATATTAATTAAAAGCTGGTTAAGACTATCTATCGAACAGTTGGTGAGCATGAATTATAATTAGTCTAACAACAAGTACGTAATTAACAACTTACAAATTAAGCCATAAAACTGAGTAATCTCCTTGTAAGATAAGAAAGCTTACTAAATTAATTTCCCACCACCATGTATTCCCCAAAACATCCCAACTATCCATTTCAAAAAGCCTTGTCGTTGCCCTACACCGAATATCTCATGCAAAGTAGCTAAAAATGATGACCAAAACCCCAAACCAACCAATAATAATGAAGGGAGTAGTGCCAATATGTTTGATAGAAGAAATATGCTCATTGGGCTAGGAGGCTTGTATGGTGCCACCACCACTTTAGGTGGCGCGCCATCCACCCTTGTTGCCCCTGTGCAAACCCCAAACCCTAATGCATGTGGGCCGACGGATTTACCCTCAAATGCCCAAGGCCTAAATTGTTGCCCACCAAGGGCCACAAGCATAGTGGACTATGTTCTTCCAACCCTTCCTAGCACCTTAAGGGTTCGACAACCGACCCATTTGGTTGATGACCAATTTAAGGAGAAGTTTGTTAGGGCTATGTCCTTAATGAAAGCCCTACCTTATAGTGATCCAAGAAGTTTTAGCCAACAAGCTAATGTGCATTGTGCTTATTGGAATGGAGGTTATTCCCAAGTAGGGTTTCCAAATATGGATCTTCAAGTTCATAATTCTTGGCTTTTTCACCCATTTCATAGGTGATATATCTACTTCTATGAGAGAATATTAGGCAATTTGGTTGATGACCCAATTTTGCCTTACCCTTTTGGTATTGGGACACCCAAGCGGGCATGACAATGCCCACAATCTACACAGATCTGAACTCTCCCTTATTTGATCTAATCCGAGATAGGGGGTCACCAGCCCCCAAAGGTGTTGGATCTGAACTACGATGGTATAGATACCAATGATTTGCGGATCAAGACATGATCTCAGCTAAGCTAACGGTCTTGTTCTGCCATATGGTAAATAACTCAAGAACCGCGAGGTTGTTCCTAGGGGCACCTTACGGGGTTTTCCCAACCTGGGGGGTGGATCTGTTGAGAACGTATCTCACGAGACCGTTCATGTATGAACGGGTGACCGTAATCGGTCTAATTTGAAAACATGGGTAATTTCTACTCCGTCGCACGTGACCCCCTATTTTACGCACACCATGCTAACGTGGACCGTCTGTGGTCCGTTTGGAAAACCTTAGGGGGTGATAGACAAGATTTTACCGACCTAAATTGGTTAAACGCGTCGTTTATATTTTATAATGAAAATGCACAAGCCGTTAGGGTTCGAGTTAGAGATTGCGTAGATTCACGAACTTAGTTATAATTACCAAAACATTGACTTACCTAAAATCAATGCACAACCTACTCAAACCTCAACATCTCGAGTAAGAAGTGTAACAAAAAAACAGCCAATGCCATGGAATCGACCTCAAAATCGAAGAAAGTCATTAAGTTTAATTACAGTGTAGGGTATTCAATACAAGCGAATAAGTTTGAATAAAAGACCAACAATATCTACATGCTTCTGCTTCTGCTTCTGCTTCTGCTTCCCACCAATATCAGCTCTATCTCCTCCTCCTCCCTCTCCTAACTGTAATAGATTATACATAAAATAAGAAAATATAAAATAAATAATAAATTAAAATAAAATAAAATAATACCTCTGTACAATTTCACAAGACTCCAATCTATACACTTGAGACCCCTTCTTCTATCGTTGCCCTCTATGTTATAGTATTCTCGTGATGTTAAAGTGTAAACCTCCAAACGGTCATTTCTATAATAAGTGTCTACCTTTTTGTTGTTCCGCACAACGTGATCCATAACCCAACTGTCAAAAAGCTTGAACCTAGTTTTGTAACCCACCACCCTGCCTCCATCACGGACCTGTTTCATGTCGGAACTCTATTTGACCCAAACTGAATGATTTGCTATAGGGTTAATAGAGGCTTGAATCATATCTTTTAAGTGTTTGTGGGGATGATAGGACCAGTGGTGGATCATTAGAATTGGCCACTCGCGGTAATTATCTTCTTCCCTACGAGCAAAATATTCCCTTATTATATTTTATTAGCAAAAATAAAAAAAAATTAACCGGTGCCAAAAACTTTGAATTAAATTTTTGTAGGATGTTTTGGAACCGGTTTGAACCGGTGGCATTTTAAACCACTTATTGGCTAAGGGGTTTTGAACCAGTGCCAAATTTGTTTTTTCACGTAGTGTATGATTTAATATGATAATTATGATTATGATTATGATTATTGTTATGTCAAATTATATAATTTAACGTAATTTTTTAATTAACGAATTGTTTTACGTAATTTATTAATTTACGAATTGTTTTACGTAATTTGTCAATTTACGAATTATTTCATGTTATTTGTTAATTGACGGATAACTTAAATATACTTTATTATGAATATTATATGTTGCTTGATTATATTTATTTTTATTGCTTGATCACACCTTTTATGCATGTTTAAAGAGAATTTGTATTTGTAATCACGTTTAATAAGATAATTAATAATCTTGTTTAGGGTTAATTTGATTATAAATCAAGTGATCGCCAATAATAGATTTATTTCTGCATTAATATTCAAACAACATAGATAAACAGGTTTAGGGTAAACCTAATGATTGCATATTAGTCAGACACCTTATATAATTAATTACTTTAATTAGCTCTTTTAATCAATCTACATCTACTTTCAACCCGTCCTCTAAAGTCTCACTAGATTATACATCGATTTCAAACCTATCAGCTTCCATTTCAGGTGGATGTCTACTATGCACCCTTACTAATGCTATCTTTCCAGTTCACAGCTTGGGCTTGAATATATTTATGTTCCCAATGAGTTCATCATTAATTGTTTTTCATGGCAAAAAATTGATTTTTTTTTAGTCTCTTTTATGACTTGTATGACAATCCCTTCGCTTGGTGAAACAAATTCCCAAGTAGAAGACGATTGATAGTAAGGATTTCTAAGTTGGTTTGAGATCAAATAGAGCTTTGAATGGATGGGTTAATATAATAGGAATGGTGGTTAGATTCTTAAATGACTCCCATTTTGAATTAATGTTTTTCTTTCACTTGATTTACCCACTCATTTTTTTGAGATGTACTCAAACTGTCATAACTGTAATTTTCCCTGGCTCAAACTTGATTTTTTCTACAAGATTAATGATTTGGTCTTTGTTAATAGTTCTATGAGTATCCTTTATATAAAATCATTTGGACAAACAATATATGATCTCCAACATGTAGCATACCAATTCTATTAATGGTAGCTGTTCTCAAGGTATAATTTTGGTAAAGGTATTATCATGATTTATTAATATTGAAATAATTCCATATTTACTGTGAAATTACAACACCACACAAACTAGCTACCATATTCTTTACGTCAATGATTATATATTCATATAAGATTTACAAGCTCATGATATGCATATATAAATGGGCATGTGTTTATTTTTGTTTTCACTGCGTGCCATGTAGCTAGTATTGTATAGTAGAGTTAAATATAAAAGGAACTTAAGTTGTATATTGTGTTTGTTGCTCCTTTCCTAATGTATGGTTCCTTGCACGTTACCACGCTTGCCATGCCACGAAAAACGATATAATGTTTGTCTCTTCTTCTAGGCCATTAGTATGATATTAAGTTGTATAAAATGGAATGTTTTGTTTCAGGTTATAGAACCGTATCTTGCTGAGGCCTTAGTAAGGCAGGTGGATGAAGTTGCTGAGTGTATGAAAACTCTGAATCGTTGAGACATAGAACTCTAAGTACAGTAGACAAAAATATTTTGTGAACTCCAACTGTTTTTTATCAAAGTTATGGCAAACTACTGTATGACATTATTTTCAGGGGAGGGGAGGATTTATCGGAGGTGGCGAGTGGCGTGGAGGAGCGGTGAGTGACGGTGGTGAGCGAAGAAGGGGCGGCTAGGTGGTGGGGGTAGGTTAGAAGGGTGATGGTTGGTGTGTATTTGTTAAGGATTTCTTCATTTCTTATACTTGTAGGTTTTTGTTATAGTGATGTTGATTTTGATTAATTTAGCAATTGTTTATACTAGAGTTAGCAGTGAAGTGTGACAAATTTGTCATGTCTGTTGCATGTCTTTTATGCATTGTTAATATGTGATTTGTGTAGGTTATATTTGTATTTGATATGTATGGGTATTTATTCTTTATACAAACTAGAGACTTGCTTCTTTTGTTTTACAATGGATGCACATTTTTTTTTTTCAATTAAAACCTACTATGTTGATCATTAATTATTCTGTTCACTAATTAAAATAAATAAATAAATAATTTTTGAATACATACATTGAGACCAATTCAATGATATTCGAACCTTTCAAAGTTAGCAAATGTATATTGCAATAAGTCAAACGTTGCATCTATTTTGAAATGTAAATGGGTATGTCACTTTGAGGTGCAGAAACATGGAATCCTTAACCAATAGCCAGTCGACCAACACTTTCCTTGACACCTCTAATTTCTAGTTTGATAGGTGACATACTATGATGGTTACAAGGAAAGTATCATGCTATGTCCATGGTAATGCAACCCAAATTTATCACTTTGATAAAACTCGATTGCTAATTAAGTGGCCTTTGTATATATAAGTAAACAAACATAGTAAGCATGAGCTTTTCATGATATCAACAATTTTTTATAAATATGGGGTGTACACTTGTTGATTTTTTTCTTATGAAAATGTCATGCCGACGAATTATTCTGATGGGTTTATATACAACATATCCACCTGATTCGCAGTTTTCATTTACCATCGTGATATTGGACTTGCTCGAGGTGAAGTAACTTTACCATGGGCCATGGGGCATTGGGATATGACTTTCCTTATTGTTCCGGGTTGAGTTCCGGTACTGTGATTACGGGTCAGTAAAGGTTTATCGCCTAATTGTCGTCTTCTATCTGCACAGGTAACAAGGATTAGCCGCCCTCGGGGTTTGTTCCGAGGAAAACCGCTCCGCTGTGATTAGTGAAGGTTTTATTTTATTTTAATTTTTTTTAAAATCTGCCCCGTCCGGTTCACTGCAGCTTAGCTCCGAATACATCTAACAAGAGTTATCTGTGTTTGGCGGGCTCAAACTCGAAACCTCCCTTAAGCTACTTAAGTACTTAACCACTTGAGCCAACTCTTGTTGATTTTAGAAGAAGCTATAACAATGTTTTTTTTTTTTTCCATTTGTTTGTTGTGTGTTTTTTTTTCTTTGACAAGAATTTCATTAAAAGAATAACAGCTTATAACCTACAAAGGGTAAAAGAAACTAAGAAAATTACAACCAAACACATCAAATCAAACATGCAAACAAAAAAGGGAAATCTTATGAAACATAGCATAACACCATTGATGACCCCCGAAGTATAATCACATCTAATGATCAATATTTGTTTATCCCCATTAACTTTGGAGCCGAAAAAAGCAAGAAACGCTTATTGGATCAACCCTCAAACATATTATATTTCGTATTATATGAACTTATTAGCCTTTAGTCACTGCTTTATATTATCCAAACTCATTTTAATTAATAATTTTTTTTAAAAAAAACTTATATGAATTTATTATTATAACGTGTTTTGAGTGGGACTTTTGACACCATATGACCAATTGTCAAAGAAAAAGATAAACCTTCTAACACTGATTAAGGGCATGTTCTCTTCAACTTAAGTTTAGTTCAATTCAGTTCCTAATATCCTCCTCTCATAAAATATTCATTTCAATTTAGCATTAATCAGTTCAGTAAATCAGAAGAGGCCCTATAGTTTGTTAATTTTTTTTTGGGTTTTCCTAAGCTGTACCCCTAAGGTATTCGAGTTTCTAAGGTGTACCCATGCTTTTTTAAGTTTCTAAGATGTGCCCTTCAACTCCTTATCAATATTAAAATGTACCCTTATTAGTTGTTTAAAAGTTATTTGAGAGTGTGATTTCGTGGTTTCAGTTTTCATTATTAGGGTTGCGGTGGCTAAAATTTCTTTCTCCTACCATTTCCTTACCTTTTATCATATTTCTATTAAATTTATAGTTAACTTTAAGTGACGTGGAAGTCCCAAGGAGGGTACCATTCATTAATGGTAATGAGTTGAGGGACACAACTTAAAAACTTGAAAAAGCATGGGTACACCTTAGAAACTCGAATACTTTAGGGTATAGCTTAGAAAAAACTTTTTTTTTTTTTTTTTTTTTTTTTTTGGAAATTTAGTTAAAAAAAACAACTCCACCGACCAAACGTCTCGTTCTCACAGCCACCACAAATCCAAAAAAAGTGCGGGCTCTTTCCACCAACCCCCTCTCTTCAACTACTACATCTACTTCCTCCCACCATTAGGAGAGAGAAACTTTCTTCACTCTCCCTCCATTTCTCTCTCTTTCTTCCAACCTCCCACTTTCATGGCGGCCTCGGCTCACCCTTCTTCTCTCTGCTTCTCCCTCAACCCCACCTCATCAAAAACCTCGATTTCAAAGTCAACCAACATCTTTGTTGGTGGGTCTTCCGTCAAATTGTATTCGGATAATTTGGGCTCTAATCGAATTGCAGTGAGTGTTGGACGGGTTAGATCGGCGATTCATGCGAGTTCGACTCAGTTAACCCCTGCTGAGTCACCCAGTAGTAGTAAGATGACGAGCTCTTCTAGGGTTCCTAACATCGTCGATGTTAATTTGGGGGATCGAAGTTATCCTATTTATATCGGACCTGGTCTTCTTGATCAACCTGAACTTCTTCAAAGGTATTTTATCGCATTTTATGATTTGGAATTTTAATTTGAAGGAAATTGGCGAAAAGACTGATTTTTGTTTTGTTGAATAATGTTCATAATTTGAATCGCATTTTACAACTTGGAATTATTATTTGTTGGAAATTAGTGACATTAAATTTTCTAAAGACAGATTTTACTTGCGCAAATATGCTGAATAAATGTTATTTTTTATGAATTATATGTTGCTGTTGTTATGAGCTACTCGCATGTGTTTTTTGTTTGATGCTGGAAAATTTTCGCCATTTTTCTAAAATGATAATGGTAAGGATTGGATTTCGATAATACCGTGATTTAGAACAAATTAGTGAGGGAGGGTGAGAAAGACACATGCACACATTTGTTTACTGGCATTAGGATTACATTGTTTGTAGAATCATATTCATTTTGGGGCCTATAGAGTGATGAACTTCAACTTTGATGAATTGTTTGTTATTCATATCCTTCTAGGGTATAGAGCATAGTGGAGAATGTAAGAAAATTGAGAAAATAATGGAAAAAATATTCTAAGAAAAATAACATCATTTTGGGGCCAACTATTGTTAAGAAATATACATAGATCATGAGCAACCAAAGATTTCTATTCTCTATCTCTATATGACAAATATGAGAAACAAATTCAAAATTATTATCAGGTTGATGGATGTTTAGCACTTCTGACAATATTTGGGAATTAACTCACGAAGTAGATTAGGGGGAGCAGTCACATTAATGCCCCAAAACTTGAAGTATGTTCAATCATTGAGCTTAGAGATTGGAAAACCAAAAATTATACCCTTTCACGCCCTTCAATATAGCTATCAAATTGATAGTAAATTACTACGTAGTAAATTAATGCTTTGATTGAATGCTTTGAATTTGTTTCAACTGATCAATGTGTTATTATTTGGTTAGGCATGTGCACGGAAAGAGGGTTCTTGTGGTTACAAACACCACTGTTGCACCTTTGTATTTGGATAAAGTTATCAATGCTTTAACTAAAGATAACCCGAACGTATCAGTAGAAACTGTGATTTTACCGGATGGAGAGCAGTATAAGGACATGGTATGTGTCTTTGACTTCGACGTTTGCTTAATAGTGATTGACTTGGTCTTTTAATACATGATTCTTTTTGGTATGATAGGATACTCTAATGAAAGTCTTTGACAAAGCTATTGAGTCAAGGTTGGATAGACGGTCCACATTTGTGGCCCTTGGAGGTGGTGTGATTGGCGATATGTGTGGATTTGCTGCAGCTTCTTTCCTGCGTGGAGTTAACTTCATTCAAATTCCAACTACTGTTATGGCCCAGGTTTGATCCTGACTTATTTATTGTTTTACATTACTATGTAATGCTATGTGTATGTGTTTGTGCTGATGACATTCATGTTCAGGTGGATTCTTCAGTGGGTGGAAAGACTGGCATAAACCATCCGCTGGGAAAAAACTTGATTGGGGCTTTTTACCAACCTCAATGTGTACTTGTTGACACTGACACATTAGACACACTGCCTGACAGAGAATTGGCATCTGGGCTCGCTGAGGTAATAAAATATGGTCTTATTAGGGATGCTGAGTTCTTTGAGTGGCAAGAGAAGAACATGGATGCATTGATGGCAAGGTATTTGAATCAATCATCAACTCCTAATTTTTTTCACCAGCACCCCTACCCCACCACCTGTTAATTTTAGTATTTTACCTTCTAACAAATGGAACTGTTGGTTATGACTTCTTTGAAGGAGATCACATTAACTTAATAACTGCATTATATGGTATTTAAAGCCTTTAGCCAACACTGCAATTTGTCTATTTTTTCACCCTGAAATCAAAACTGTGTTGTACAGGTTATGTAACTCTATGGGATCTTTGGGTTTTGTAGTAGGCTAAAGAAAGACAATGTGCACTTTTAGCTGGTAACTTCAACATTCAGGAAGCCTTTTTGAGGGAATGTACCCAAATGAAATTAGTAATTACAAAATGAAAACAACTTGTAGCTTTCATTAGTAATGATGCATCATTGAGCTGGCTGAAGAATGGTTGCCTAATTAGTTGCTTATGCTTCATACTTTTCACATCATCTTATCTGAACATTTAAAAACTTATCAGGCCTTATCCGCAAAATAGACTTGCTACCCAATGAAATTGATTTTCGCAAAATATATTGTTTCATGGTGAAAAATGAGACATTAGTCTGCTTAAAAATTATAACTTATAAAGCATCGAGAAAGCTAACAGTTTGCCCATCCCCTTTTGTCCAAGGTGTCCGAATGGTTGTATTCTAAGGATCATGGTTAGGCAAACTTTGGCTTTTCAGTCTTTTATTTTTATTCCTAGTTACTGAAGGATATATTTATTGGTTATTAGAATGCAAAAAGATAACCTATCGTGCTAAAGAACGCGTCAGGATTCCAAATACTATGCTATGTGACAATTTGGCTTGTTTGACATAGTTTGGATGTTGATACCCTGGGTAGATAACCATACTACATTTTTTGAAGTTTTTTTTTTAATGAATGATGATAGTAAGTGACAAGAGGCTTGTTTGACATTGTTTGGATGTTGATGTGGTTTTAGAGTTTGAGCTTATATCCATCATGGCTGACTAAAAGGTTATGTCTATTGGCTTGATTTGCAGGGATCATGTTGCCTTTGCATATGCAATAAAACGCTCCTGTGAAAACAAGGCTGAGGTTGTATCTTTGGATGAGAAGGAAGGTGGACTGAGAGCAACATTAAACTTAGGTCACACTTTTGGACATGTGAGTTCTATAATCCCGTGATATTTTTTTCAAATTCTTTCTTACTGAAATTTATTTTAGCCAAGCTGTTAACACCTTGGAGAAGAAAACTTTTGAGGCAGTGTCGGGCATCTGTGAAGTATCTTATATGTTCTACTTGTAAAACGTGCCTTAAATCCATTATAAGCAATTGCTGAACTGAACAACATGTAAATATGTAAGCAATTAGTATTGCATATCTAAGATACACCCTGTTGAGAATTTTGAAATTGAAATTTCAAGCCTGAGCTCTGAAGTCTGAAACCTGGGCTTAAATTGTAAACACTTGCAAGTACTTTATAGTTAGGCTAACTCAGATTTTCTTTCAATCAATATTTACTTCAACTGTACAAGTGAACTTAAGTTTGAGTTGTTTCAGTATTCATCGTCTAAATGAATCCTGTAAAGTTTGTAGACCCAGTAACCATATGATGTGGGACCACATGTTTTCACCTTGGAAAGAGTTTTGGTTTGTGATGTACATGTAAATTTCATTGGTGTTGAACAGTTTGGCTGTTTTGAATCCCTTTTGCAGGCAATAGAAACAGGATTTGGCTATGGCCACTGGCTTCATGGAGAAGCGGTTGCAGTTGGAATGGTATGTCTCTGTCAACCTATTCACTGGCTCTTACGTTTTCATCATCTTCTGCTGATTTGGATTTTTTATGTTCAGGTCATGGCTGTTGACATGTCACACCGTCTTGGTTGGATAGATGAATCACTAGTTGGGCGTGTTCATAACATCTTAAAAAAGGCTAAGCTACCTATTGCACCTCCTGAAAGCATGACTGTCGAAATGTTCAAGTCCATTATGTCGGTAAGCTTAGATGACACATACTATTGTAGTACTTTTAATTTTTAAACATTTGAAAATTCATAATAAGCCCATGCTTAAATTCACCTATTGTGAAGGACATATTATATAGTTAGAATTATGTCATATCTTTCATTATGGGAGATTTAGACTATTTGCCAGCTCCATTTCTTCCAGACAGAAGGATTACTAATTATATACCTATCATAAACTTATCTATGTCCATGTAAATCTAACTGGCAGGTCGATAAGAAGGTAGCTGATGGTGTGTTGAGGCTCATCCTTTTGAAAGGTCCCCTTGGAAACTGTGTATTTACCTCAGATTACGATAAAAAAGCACTGGACGAAACTCTGCGTGCCTTTTCCAAGTCCTGATTCGTGATATTAGTATATACCCACTATTCTTTTTGTAACCAGTGGATTGTCAAGCAACCATACCATAAAAAGTGTATCAACTCAACTATATGAATCATTTGTTGTTTTTATGTGTAGAAACGGAAATAGTTTCTGTTGTGAGATGAAATACCTGATAGAGTGATGATAGATACACGATGTAATATAACCCTAATAATTATCAAGTAGAAGTTCTCGAATTAGCATTTTTCCTTATGGGAAGCTTCTCCATCGAATGATCCCGAGTTTAAATAAAATTCACCATGTACTCATACTGCTCGATGTTTAGTTGTTTACAATGTACACTAACCATTGTTCAATGCCTTACCTACGCAGGACAGCTCAAACAAGGATCATTCATTTACGCAATTACACCAAAATGGGCACATCAAGTGGTAGCTGTATATCTATTCAAAAAAAAAAAAAAGTGGTAGCTGTATATTTATTCTAAAACACTTATGCATGCATACAACTTGATCATTGATGACGACGTGCCCGTTCTTATTACCAGTATATACTATACAGTCCATTTTAATAAATTGACATGAAACTTTGAATATTATTATAATCCGTATGTATTTGGAGCATTTGAGAATTGAGTGTGATATCAACCCGATTTCACGGATGAACAACTACCTGTTAATGGTCCCCCCTAACTTATACCCCTTCTTTAATCTTCACTTATGGCTTCAAACTACTTCCAGAGTCTTGATGTTTAATTTCCAGTTTTCAAACTCGTGATTTCCGTGTTTTGAGCTGTTGTATTAAGGATGGCAATGATTGAATGGGATGACAAAAAAATAATTCGAGAATTGAGTTCGAGTTGTTCTAAAAACTTTGACGAGTTGAGTTATGGTCGGTTCAAATTCATATGAGAAGTAAATTAAGAAAAGTTTATGTTACAAAAGTAGTTTCTAGTCTTTCTACAAATAAATTTTAAACTTGCCATTACTAATTCACAATAACTCAAAGTTGACTAATGTCCTATCCGCCAAATTATGCTTGACTACTTAAAAATGTCATTATAGAAGTCAATGCATTAAGTTACAAACCAAAATACAAAAGTCAATGCATCTACATGTGGGTATTATCTTTGTATTGGGACATTATAACCATACAAATTCTCATTTTATCAATTGAATATGTGATTTTCCTAGGATTAGTTATTAATTAATCCCTAGCTACAAAATCGACAATCAGAACACCTGATCAATATTCGAAACTACATGACTCAAATTGATGATAAATACCACCAAAATTAACCCATCAGCTCTCTTAAAATAGATTTTAAAATTACGAGTACTTGACTTGATCAAACTCGACCTAACCTACAAGTAAAAGACACATACTGTAATTCTAATAATGTCTCAATTTATCTAAAACCCGATCTGTCTATCCTAACAACACGATTGCCACCTCTACGCCTCGCCTATCTCTACGGTAGTTATGCAAGGGGGGATAAAAACGAGAGGAAAGAGGGGAAAGGCGTAGGTAGTAAAGCGTAAAACACGTTAGAAGAAGAAACAATCACCCACAAAAACAAAAAAAATTAAAAAAAACACACATTATTCATTCATTGAACGCTTCAACGGCATTGTTTCCCGGTTCTCAGGTAACTCCTCTCCTTTCTTCTCTTTTACCTTCTCTCTCTTTCTCTCTCTCTACTTCAATCTTCTTCCCCCAATTTTTTCTCTGATTAATCTTTATTACCAGATCTATTCACATTAGGGTTACATTTTTCGTCATTTCTTCCTCTCAATTTTCTCCATTTTTCATCCACATTTTCATTTCCTCAAATTAGGGCTCCGTTTTTCTAGGGTTTCATTTTTGTTTTTGTTGCGCAATCTTTGATGTTGTGATCGGGTTTCAATTTCTTCTTTTACAGGTTCCTTCATGTGGTGTTGTAATTGAGAAGCGATTTTGATTTTTTTTTTTCAATTTTTTTGAATTTGAATTTGGGGGAAAATTAGCTTTGTTTTTAGTTTTTGATTGATCAAGGTGTAATTTGAGGGGGTTGAATTTTGAGGAGAAGAAGAAATCGTGATTGTTGAGAAAAAAAATGAGTGCTTCGAGGTTCATAAAATGTGTTACAGTTGGTGATGGTGCCGTTGGTAAAACTTGCTTGTTGATTTCTTACACCAGCAACACCTTTCCTACGGTCTGTTTTCTCTCTCTCTTTCGTTTCAGAACTTCGCTTCGATTTCATGGAAATTATTTGATTGTTTTGTTAAATTCGTCTCGATATATACTTTTACAATCATTTTTTTTAACTGTTATGTAAGGTTTCAATTGTGCTTTGGGAATTGTTTTGAATTGTGTGATTCATGGATTTGATGTGGATTGTTTTTTGAATTTTAATGTTGAATTCCAGTAATTCTTCAAATTCAAGGAAAAAAAAAGCAATTAATTTGGTAATGATTGAATTTCTAGTTATGTTGATTTTTTTTTTTTTTTTGGGTGCAATTGGGTAAAATTTAGGTTGATGCAAACATTTAAAGGCAGTTTTAGGGGAATTCAGCCATTTTTGAGCTTGAGGATTGATTAACAGTGTTTATAATTCTGATGATATACGATGTTAGTCATGAATAGTATGGTTGATTATTTTTTTATTTTTATTTTTTTATTAACGTAAGGATTGTCTGTGGAGGAGGCGAATTGAGCGTTTAGTTTAGGATTGCTGTTAGTTTCTTCCTTTTACGCGAGCTGTATTTATATAGACAACTCATTTGAAGATTGGATTCAAGTTTTGTGAAAGAATTCTGTTTCTGACCACACAATCATGGATTTTCCTGTCAGGGATATATTTTTGGTTACCTTGCAAAGTAGGAGATGTATTAGTTTCTAGTAGTTGTGATTGTAGTTTGTACCTTTGCTTCTTCTATTGTAAGTTATTTAGTTTGTGGTCGGGAAGTTTCTGTTTAGCTGGATTTGATGAGATTATTTGTTTTTGGCTATATCTTGCTCAGAACATTAATATGATTTGTTCTGTTGAATTCCTTGGGTTTTTGGTTACTCTGCAAACCTCTTTTGCTAAGACATTCTGTTTCAAAGGTTTTTCTTTGATGTATTGAAATCAGATCATTCTGTTACTCTGATTTCCTTTGGTACCATGTGTCATTTACGTGTTTAAAACTGTCATCAGATATGACCCTTGAGGGATTGCAAAATATAGAAAACATGACGTATCCATGTCAGATATTCTTAAATTTGTGAAGAGTCTGAATATGAAATATAATGCAAGTAGTTTGTGAATTGTGCTGAGCTCTACTTCCCAAATTGTTGGTCCTGTTCTGCTATTCTTTTATTCTCTTAAATTTAAATCTTTGATGGAAACAGGATTATGTGCCCACTGTCTTCGACAACTTCAGTGCAAATGTCGTTGTTAATGGGGCCACAGTTAATCTGGGGTTATGGGATACTGCAGGTAATGGCTTTATATCTGCTGATTAATCTCTTTGGTTGTGTACTTAATTATTCTCTTTGTACGACTCAAATTGTTATTTGTGTTACAGGACAAGAGGATTACAACAGATTAAGACCTTTGAGTTATCGTGGAGCAGATGTCTTTATTCTTGCTTTCTCCCTCATTAGCAAGGCTAGTTATGAAAATGTTTCTAAGAAGGTAAACATTGTTTGAATAGTTGTACTACTGATAAGGAAGCATTAATGTGAATGAGACTCTTGGTGTTTGCTAATGAGCTGTTGTGGCCACTTAATTTTCAGTGGATTCCCGAGTTGAAGCATTATGCTCCTGGTGTTCCCATTGTTCTTGTTGGAACAAAGCTTGGTCAGAATCATACTTATCTCTTTTGTTTTGTCATTTTGCATTTCTGTCTTATACTGTCATTTCTTTAGTGTAGTAACATTTCTAGAAGTTCTGATCACCCTTGGAAATTTAGCTTTTTTTTTTGGGTTATCATATACTATTTGAGTTTTGATTTCGGTAAATATGTGCTATTTTTATATCTAGTTGGTTGAGAATTTTTCTGGTTGTTGGAACCTTTGTGTTCTCATTTAGCAAGCTTAGCTTTCTGTCTCTGATAAAGGGTCTTTTAATTTAATTTTCTGACGTAGAAGTTATTCCTACTTTTGATGCATGACATTAGATCTTCGGGATGACAAGCAATTTTTCATAGATCACCCTGGTGCAGTTCCAATCACTACAGCTCAGGTAAAAAAGAGTTGTACTCTGCATATGTTTCCCTATGGTCTGTTATGTTTAGAAATCACATGGACCAAATTATTTCTGTTGTTGTTCAGGGTGAAGAATTGAGGAAGCTGATTGGTGCTCCTGCTTATATCGAATGTAGTTCAAAAACACAGCAGGTGGGTATTTGTTTTCAGGTTGAGATAGTTTCACTTTCCAACTTGTTTGTGCCTTTTGAGTCACTAACTTTTGAACTTTGAATTTAAAATGCAGAATGTCAAGGCAGTATTCGATGCAGCCATTAAGGTTGTGCTTCAACCACCAAAGACAAAGAAGAAGAAGTCGAAGGCACAGAAGGCTTGCTCCATATTGTAATTGTGTCAGTTGTAAAGAGAAACAAGCCCTAGTTCGAGCAATCCATCTCGCGTTCGACCTTTTTCTTTCACAATCAAGCTTGAGGATACAGGCAGGCTTTTTTAGCGTATGATTTCTTACTGATTGTACTTAGGTTCTTTTGTGGAGCATCAGGTTGTTTCTTGTTGCTTTCTGGCATTACATTACCATCTAATTTGTGGTTTTGGTTCAGTATTAAATATAAGGTACTGGAAGATCCCAGTTTAGGAAAGGACCGATATTTTTCCCCCTTAACCCTAGCAGAGCAGTTAAATTCATTTCTTCACAACTACTTGTTATGAAGATGTTTGCCTCTGGCTACATTTTTTATGTCTCTTTGATTTCTGTAGTTTAAAGTTTAAATATCGCGCTATTTTTTCAATACGATGGTTTTCTCTGCCCCCTTTTGATTAGTTGATGCTGGAGTTGGTGCCCAAACAGTTCATAGTAGTTGGCTGAACCACTCTCCTTTTGGGAATCTTGTTTGCAGAGGTTGACTCCAACTAACATTGTGTTGGTTGAGCAATGAGCCACAGATTATAAGTATATTTATTTATGGTGATCATGATACTTTGTGTATGACATGATTAGATAGATTGTTAATGTAGAATATTTGGCTGTTCTTGGAATGTTTGATTATGTTGGCTTATTCTATTAGCCGCCCACGTGGTTGCTGATTTCCTGAAATGCGCATATTCTATGGCCGATTTTGTACGTCTGAAATAAATAATACCTTTGCTATATTGTATAGTTTCTGGTTAAAAATACGTTTAAAAGTGACCCGCTTTCACTGGGGGAGGTGATGAAATTATGATTGTGATCGCTCTCTGCCTGGTGATTGAATGACCTACTTGATTCGGCCTTTCATGAGTACATACTCAGTATTATAGGAATGACTCTGAGGCTCATACGCTTGGGAGCATTGTGTTTGAAGTTCAGATTGAGCGTCCAGTCTGTCTATCTACAATTTCAGATTTTTTCACTCTTTTAAAGGAAAAAAACCTACCAAACTAGCTAACCCTCCTAGGTCAACTAACTTAATTGCATAGGTCAACGCTTGAGAGTAGAGGCAAAAGGTAAGGTTATCTCTTATTCCCAAGCATGTAGGTGGTGATGAGTCCCGAACCTGTGACTTTGGCCTTTAGATGTTCTTACGAATAATTGTTGTATGGCACAATGGCTCCAGCCACCAGGTATGGTCATCATCAACAATCTTTTAGTATGTCCTGTTTAGATTAGCAAGATAATATATAGCTGGATTAGCATCTATATTAGTGATGTTCTTTAGCTGGAAAGTTGTGCGCTATGTAAAATTGTAAGGCCAACTTTAGAGAAAAAAAAAAGGTTGAAGCAGGACACGTATGCTCATATTAACAAATTGAGACTGGCTAATTGGCTAAACAAGGCTTATTTTGATTGGCTGAAGTATCAATCGCATACCAAGTTTTGACTATTCTATATTTCTATAGGTAGCCAAACATTCAATCATTTGCCAAAATTATGTTAATGAGGGTATAATTATGCAACATCATTGTTATACAAACTTTGTTTATAACAATTACTCCGTATTAACTATGAACAGACAAATCTATTTAAAGGTTTGTGTCCTGAACTCATTATTACATTACATTTTATATTATGTTCTGGCGGAGTCCACTCACCTTCAACTTAATTTGAGAAAATCACCTCATACTTTGTAATTTTCGTTAGCAATAATTAAAGTGGAGGAAACAAGCCTCTCCACAACCCTCTTATCGCCATTGTTCTTACTCTCTTGGTGAGATGTGAATAACATTGTGATTAGGGAACGTAGTAATTCTTACCATCTAGCTTATATTCAGGTAACCTTCTATAAATGTGTATAAATACCTTATATTATGTATGCACACATCATGAGAAACACGTCTAATGCAATTATCTATCCAAGATGTTTTTGATTTTTTTTTTTTGTATGTTTCAACTTCTTTCATATCTTTGAGAAGTACTTCCAAAACCATTAGAATACAAAGAAAGCATAAGAATACAACAATCTGTTGGTAAATAAACAAATTTAAAGCTAAAGAGAAAGACAAGTTTAGAGAATCAGAACAAGCAAATCATATTAAAATCAATGTCCTAAAGATTAACATGTGGCATTGACTTTTCCTTTAATAAACTATCGCTTATAATACGAGTAAATGATTCTATTCTGTAAACACTCAGTAATCCCTGAATATAATTGTTGTGTAAAAAAAGCAGCGTTTTTGTCTGAGACAATGTGTGAAACAAAAAGTATACAAGTATGATATATTGATATTCCTAGGTGCTACATGAGGCTGTTCTAAGTCTGGCCGTTTGGGTGTCAAAACAATCGAATCGAAGCAATAATCCGAACCACAGCAGGAAAATGAGTTGATTCTGTTAATACTGGCTCTCCAAATATTGCCATATTGTCCTCACTTAACTGTCTGAGGTTTCTAGCAAAGAGCAAATGAACCGTGCTTTGACATGAAAACATAACCAAATTTGCATGTATTGTTCACCCATATTAGAGTAAGCCGAATAGTAGAATATGACAAATTGCTAAAGAGTGAAATGATGGTAGAGCTATAAACCGTTCCTTATAGAATCTTATTTTTGTCTCGATAATTAGTTTCAATATATTTATGTAACTTTTATAATGTTTAAAAAATACTATTTTGAAGATATCTTTTCAACTTTTATGTATGCATTAGAAACGGTTTAAAAAGTCAAATGAGACAAACAAAAGGGAACAGAGAAAGTAAACTTGGCAAAAAAAATTCTAGTCTTGAACTGAAAGACTCATCATCTAAATAGATTAAATTGAGGCGGACCAATATGAACAATCCATTTTTGACCTCTATCAAATTTGGGCGTGGAATTTGCCCACAGAATCATATAGCAAAAGGTTTAGATTGTGATTTGACATAAGGAGTACACATATTGATTATATTCAACATGTACATCATCTCTGCTCTGGACAAAAGAAATTAAATAAACACTTTTCATGTTACCAATTGTTGGTTAAATTAATGGATGGTGCATTGGTGCTCATCAGAAACTTTGAAAGGAATAACATCCAGCAATTTGGTAAGTCGGTCGATTCCCTGAACTATTAGAGGAAAATTTCATTCAGAATATATACCTTCCAGCTTTCAGTCCATTAGTTAAAACAATTTGAATTCTCTTCCAACATAAAGTATATTCTTTTGTCCTCTTATATAATAGACATGAAAACGCTTACATTTTAGCAAGCAAACCTCCCTTTTTCAGTTGCTCCTACTCGAAAAAGAAACGAAAAAACTGCTAAATACCAAGAACTGATAACCATCTAGGTATCAGCAAGATGGCGATGAAGAGGATTCTAAAAGAGCTTCAAGATATAAGGAGAGATCCTCCTACATCATGTAGTGCAGGTTGTCAAATCCTCCTAACACACAATTTTGCCATGCAAGTAATCTTGTCTTATCGAGAGAGGACTCTCTTCACTCGGCCTAGTTGTTGAAGAGAATCCCGATCTTAATCTCAGCTAATTTGTGTGTACTTATATTGTGCATTTCTTGATGAATTCAGGTCCTGTGTCTGAAAACTTATACCAGTGGCAAGCAACAATTATCGGCCCTGCCGATTGCCCCTATGCTGGCGGCGTCTTCCTTCTAAGTATTCACTTCCCCAGTGATTATCCCTTCAAACCACCAAAGGTAGGTCATTGCTCAGTTTATAACAAACTGTGTCTTTGTAATAGTGATTTTATTTTCACTAAAACTTACATGAGCATGAAAATCTGTAAAATTGATGACAGGTTGCCTTCAGAACCAAAGTGTTCCATCCAAACATCAACAATAACGGGAATATTTGCCTAGACATCCTCAGGGATCAATGGAGCCCTGCTCTCACTATATCCAAAGTTTTACTATCAATATGTTCTCTACTTACAGACCCAAACCCTGATGATCCTCTGGTACCGGAGATCGCTCACATGTACAAAAAGGATCGAACCAAGTACGAGACAACAGCTCAGAGCTGGACGCTCAAGTATGCAATGAATTAAGCACTCGAGTCTCTCCCCTTAAAGCATCAAGTTTCTTGATATTTTTCCCCCATTGTAACACTTCAGATTCAAACAAGGCTTTTTCTATGGCAAGGAAATGAATTTTATTACCAAATTTTGTTTCAGTCTCATCTTATGTACCTTGAAATTCCGAGTAAATGAATAAATTGAGTTCACACAGCACTGCAGTAATATAATGTCAAAAACTTTGATTATGGCAACAACGATTAACTTACAACTTATAAAGTGGTAAAATTACTAGGAATCAGCACCATTCAGACATGTATATTCAAGTATAAATGGAAAATTTCTCCAAAAAGTGGTAAAGATAGAAAGGGTAAATTATACACCATTTTACCAGTCATTGCAACCAAAGTAATGCCGCATAATGAAGCAACTTGCAGACACCCGCAAACTAAAGAAAACTTCAGATGCAGTGAGATCATAGTTAGCATAAGAGACCCTAAAACCATGCCCTCAGAACGAGGTCAAGCAAACAAGTCTTCCGTCAGGGAGACCTAACTAAACTGGTTACAAAAATACTCAAATATAATTAACTTGTGATGCGTGAAAATGCCTAATTACATGCAATCACAGGTTCAAGCTTTGACAGGTTCATATTTCTCACTAACTGCACCACCTTTTTGCTTTTGGAATTGGATGTACCGCAAAGTGCTTGCAAAGAAAGCCTCGGCAGCAGGATCTGTTGCAGCATTATCACTTTGGTTCTCTGTGGTAATTAATTCCATTAGATCCTGGATTGTATTGACAGTGATCTGGTTGTTCCCCTTCTCAAAAAAATAGAGGTACCTACATATGAAAGCAAATTCCAAAGTTAAGGTATGCCATGATTTATCATGAAAGTTCAGATATCCAGACATCCAGTACACACAGAGGACAAAATTCCTAGCAAGAAGAGAGCTTACTTATTGAGGATTTCAATGAAGAGCATAACTGATCCACCACTGCCCCGTGTAGCATTAGCCATCTGTTGAGCAGCATTTGCAATTTTTAGAGCCCGCTTCAAGCAAAGTAGAACCCTGCATATACGAAAACCAATTCACTTGAATTTAAGGAATTACAACAGTAGTAAAATCATAATTAGTCATCAATATTCATTTATTCAGTTTTGTAATTGCTATTCTTCAAAGAGTATTAGGGTTCAGCGGCTGCTACAAATTCCGACATATATGGCATCATTTTCTGTTTCTCTGACAACATAAGCTTAACTTTAGTTCTGTGGCTCATATATTAAAATTTATCCATCCCAGCAGTTGTTCAGCTAGAATCTGGAGATACATGCATTTTAGATTTCCTTCTCTTTCAGACAATAAGGTTAACTTTGAAGAGACACTCCGGGTAAAGGTACTGGCAAAGCATTGATAAATCTACTTGCCGCATTTCCCAGCATGGGGCAGCTATAATACTTGGTAAGATGCGCAGAAGTAAATGACTCAACTAAATTTCTAATTGTCATACACAACACAAAATCCCCACAAGGAGTAAAAATATAATGAAACATACCTCTCTCCATCCCTAACACCATCCTGGTCATCCGCCCAAAAGAGATGAGAGCATGCATAAACAGCTCTACATTGATCAGGTTTCTTTAAAAGCTTTGCAGAGTACTGCATATGTCAAATGGGTACTAGCTTAGCACAAATAAACAGTATAAAACAGATCATTTAACAGCACAAGAAAAGAAAAGGCTTTAAATAATACCCCTGTTGCTTTGTGTGTCAGAGTATCTCTGTTCTCAACACCAAAGACATGCATCCTTTGAAGAGTACCGATTATTAGGTATAGTGCAGTCACTTGTTCTCTGGAGCCCTAGAGAACACAAAAGCACAGAGAAAAAATGAACCTACAAATTATAAGAATAGATGGACTGGAAAACCCAAGTACAAAAAACCATCAACTGAAAATTCCATTACCGAAATTTCTTCCTCGTATAATATATATGCTTGAGTGAAAAATTCACAGGCGACAGGTTCCAAATCAGAGTCATTTGCAGCCTGCTAGACAACAGATTACTTGATGACAGATTTCACATATATTCATTCTAGCAATTTACGCAGAGGGTTTAAACCTTACCTCAGCACATTGCAGGTACAACCGCAATGCGAGCTCAGGAGCTGGAACATTTGAAAGAGCCTCAATAAGCTGAAAAAAAAAAGGCAAATATTTGTCCAGCCATCGTAGATACAAGAACTCGTACAGAAAGTGAAAAGACCAACAAATGCCAATGAGCAAACTTTCAACAAAAGATAGAAAAAGTATATATGAGTACGCAAAACGATATAATGTTAATCCATACACAGCACCCTTCAGTTTGAAGTTTAATTGTTGTCAGCGGTAATATTTGACATTATAGACACTGTAAGGATGATACAATTACTAAAAGATGTTACTTTCCCCTCCTCATCAAATATTGTTAAAAGAATAAGCATGATTTATATTAACAGAGATGGGGAATATTAACAGCATCCCATCCATTGCACACCAAGCACACTAACCAGCTGTCAGTTCAACTACGAAAAAAGGGCATACTTCGGTATGAAGATAGTTAAACATTTAAAAATAAAAAATAAAAGGATCTTAGGATATAATGAATAGTAGAGAAATAATAGCCAAGGAAAGTATATGTAAAAATTCATACTAATATAGTATAAAACAAACAGCTAATGTTACCATTGATGTGTGTTAAGAAAGATTTATCTAAACGCTCAAACATCATAAGGCATGACACACGGGTCACTTGCATAATAAATATTCAAAGATACCTGATTCAAAAGCTGAAATATTTTCTTTGGCGTACCCTCTACTTCATCACCAGATTTATCCACATCTTGGTTCTGAAGCCTTCTAATTAACTGTTTAATTAAAGCAAAAGATGAGAATTAGAAAGGTTCAGCAGAGTATAACAATTGACCTGTAAATTTGTTATCTAATAGAGTCTTGGCTGACTAAGCATTGGCACTTTACAGGTACCAAATAACTACCAGAGACAACCACGACAGTCATAAGTTACATGTCTCATAACTTGGGAGGATAAGATGCTTATTTGAGAAATAACACGTGAACAAATGAACGAGACCTATTAGGAGTCAAGAATTGAGTAAAACCTTAAGAGAGGAAAAAACAAGGGGTGGAACAGTAAATGATAGACGTTTCACTCCACCAGCCAATATATGCTTCCGCACTATATTTATAATCTGCAGATCAACAATAGAGAAATTAGGTATATATGTTAGCAAAATAACAAGCACAATCCTCTATTCCACTTGGACCTTTTGGCAATTTTTTTTAAGAGGAAATGTGTTTACTACCCAAGCAACTGGAAACAAAAATAAATAAATAAAATGCAGCTTTACGACCAAACATTGCAACAGGAAACTTTTCCACATAGCAATGAGCTTTAGTTTTCATAAATGTCACTATTACTTTAACCAAGATAAACTGCAGCGGTATTGTAGTTGTATTATATATACTTATGTCATGACTGCTTTTGGTACTCTCTTTCCAACATCAGCATCTTTTCAGTTCTCAGGTTGCATGCAGATAACATTGGGTTAGTTAACCCAAAACTGACTAGTAATATTCCATTCATAATTTAAACTGACAAAGGACAACACATTGACACTTCAGCAACAAATAACGTTACATATGCTGAGTTGTTGAGTGGACACCTATTTTGGACAGAATAAATGAAGAAACCTCATTAGTGAGAAGTACCTTGAACATCTCTTCTGAATCATCGTTGTGCAGCATTTGGATAAGGCGTGCTACTGCATTTTGTTCCTCCTTGAAGTCTTCTTCGTCATCCTAGAATATGACAAACATTCAATTTAACAACAACAACAACAACAACAGCCCAAAAAAAAAAAAAAAAAAAAAAAAAACATAACTAGCCATGCAAAATATTGGGCATAAGCAAATCATTTGTTCAACAGCCTCAAAATCCAGTAAGTTATGTGAAATAACAAAAAAAAACATATCAAATAGACAACCAACTATGAGCAAACCAGGGATTCTAGGCAACTACGTCACACTTCATACATATATATGTAAATGACTCCAACTGACCTCATCATCAACAGCACCATCCGTGTCCTTCATAAGCCCTTTTATTAACTCAAACAATGCTTCGACCTACATACAAGATATCCAAGAGCATTAGGCAGGCAATATCAAAGCAAAAATTAGAAATGTGAATTAAATATATACCTTATCACCCGTAGATATGTAAGTCTCGTTTTTCATAATACTTTGAATAATAATCTTTGCCATGACTTTATTAGTTTCATTGTCAAGGTATTCCATCACCCGAGGATAATTAGAGAGCTTCAAGGCAGTAATAACACTATTATATTTATCCAGCGGAGCACTCAGAAGTGCAACAATTTGCTTTGTTGCCTTGCTGTCATTAAGTTTCCCAATAATGGAGAGTTTGTTGACGCAGGATCCCTGGGTGTAAAGAGAAAGAGCAAGACTTTGTAGTTTGTATTCATCAAAAGTAATGATAATTATATGGATGAACAACAATTTAAAGCAGACTACTGACCAGTAATAAGGAAGTTCATATAAGATCCATGCATGGAAATTAATAAGAAAAAGCATCAAACTATCTCATAAAATTAAGGCCAATCACCCAAAGTTTCGGTGTGACAAACCAAAACTCACTTACATAGGAGCAGATATATATATCAGCACTAAGATGCAAAACGACCAAAAAAATTATCTTCGTATTAAAGAAAAATTTGAAGATAATCAGTAGGCGTGGCATTTCAGCATTAAGCTGCACAAAAGCTTCACATCAAAAGAGTGGAGTGAGGGCAATAATCGATACACAATACAAAGGAAGAAGTTCAGTTGCTGGAGGGAGCTTCCTGAACAGGAGGTTATTCAAGACTTTAAATTCAAGGATACTGGGTATTTGGAAAGTTCTGAAGGCAAAAATTTATGTCGCTTTCCCAAGTCTTGAGATGAAGGGTGTTCAATTGATGCATACTATTATAGATGCATGCAATTTATTGCTTATTCTGAAAATGACAAGTCATATGCTAGATTGACTATTTCAGAGGAAGCAGATGCTTCTCAATTGCATGGAGTAAAGTGTAAAACTGTCAGTCTTCATGACACTTTTGTAGGAAGAGCCACAGGAATATTGGGCAAGAATCTCACAATAGTCTACAAAAGCAAAGGCAACAAGAACCAAAAAAAATAAAAAAAGGAAGGAGGCATTGGTCCAATATTGATACTAGTGAACTGAACACTGATGGATCTTGGCAACACTAACCTTTTAGCCTTCCACTTTATAGTATATTCAACCACCAATGGTATCTGTTCAACTATTATTGTATACAAAGTTATCAGCCTATTTATTTAAAATTCAACTCCAAGATTTACACACATTTACCTCAGAAAGTTCTACACGTTGGTCAAACTTTAAGCATCTACAATTTTAGCACCATTTAAAAAAGCCCAAGTTATACATTGTTTTCAATTACTTCTCTGCAGATTCTAGCTTCACTCTTACCTAAGGAACTGAATCGTTGTTACTCTTTTTGGCTAGTAAAAAAAATAATAAATAAATAAAAATTCAACTCTGGCCGTGCTGGATAATAATTAAATAAAAACTTTTTATAGCAAGTACACAGCAAAGTTCCAAGGAGCAGTGCAATTTGATTTCCGCCAATCTGAAGATGCTTCCCACAGAGATCAAGTCATGGCTTCCAAAGTTTCAATTACACACACTTTAGCTAAAAAGCATATCACCTATTCTTTCACACTGTAAACTTAAATAGATTACACTAATGAAATTCAAGCAGAATACAAGTGCAAAAAGAAAATTTTGCAATCACTGATGGAAGAGGCACAAACACTACATGCTCTACTTAATAACAGATTGTGCAAATCTTACAGCAGTAAAAAGAAAATACTGATGCAGCTTGTCAGAAATATGAAACAAAAATCATCTCAGACAAAGGAAATCAATGTACTTGTGAACAAACATACCAATACTTGATCAGCATAATCAAGCCGATCAGGATGAACATGCAGGGTAAAGGTAAGAAGCGATGAATACAAAGTCACAACAGCAACAACAGGCATATCAGTTTGTGCTTCTATGATCTGCATTTGATAAAAATACAAAATCAGTAAAATTAAAAAATACAAATACTAATACAATAATACAGGATATTTCTTCCCCTTTTGGCCCTATCATCTATTGATAGTTAACTTAACATACCAATGGAAAGAGCATAGATAATTCAAGAAAGAAAAAAGTATGAGGCTAGCATTTCTACATGGTTGCACAACATCAATGAAGCAATCCGGGTAACTAACCTTCCCAATTGCACTGTTTAATTTCGAGAAGGCATCCACTTGCAAGAAATCCGGCAATACTGGAAAAAACCATATTAGTGACCCCAAAAAATAATAATAATAATAATAATAAAGAGGCAGCATAATTTTTGTTTGGATAAAAAATAATAAATAATTTTTTTAAAAAAACTTGGATAAAAATAAAAAAATAATAAATAAAAAAAATAGCTTTAATGGAGGCATCACTAAACTCACCTCTGGACTTGAGGCAGCATAATTTGAAAGCCTTTCCATCAAACTGGGAGAGAAACTGACTTGATATCAACGGATGGCTGGAAGAGGAAAATAAAAAAAGGTTACAGGCAAATTTATTAAATACTTACTATGAAAAATTGAGATAACAATACACATTTCAA